TGTGTGTGTGTGTGTGAAAATGATGACTCCCATCCACAAAACTGTATAATTGTCATGTCTCTCATATTACTACAAGGTCTCTTTCGTCCCACATCATTTTTTTTTTTTTCAAATCAATATTTAATGAAAAATTTGAATTTATTTGGTAAGTGACATTGTTGGTAAACTGCATCAAAGTGGTATAGTGAGTCATCAGCCAGTCATTAATGCAAGCCACATTTTGTTGGGGTTTATTTAGTGATACTGATGGATGAATGTACATTATTTCTTTATATACTATAGTTTCATCAGATGCACGCGCCTGGCCCAAAGTTAACTTCCGGTCTTTGTTTGTTTATCGCTTTGGCTTGTGGCTATGGCGCCGACTACAAACGCAGTTAAAGTTAAGGTGATGAGTAAACTGAAGTTGGGCTCAGGTTGTTGTGCTGTGGGATGCAACCCAGTGTTTCCCATACATTGATTTATTTGTAGCAACCCGCCACAATATCAAAACTGACCGTCATGTTTTCCAAAAGGCATTGACTTAGTTGAATAAACATGATGAGCACTGCATGTTTCAAAATCAAAACGCTGCAGGGGTGTTTTTTATTATTACTGTATCTCTAAAGGAAATCGACTGTCTTCAGAAAATTTTCGATGTCATTTTCATTTAATCTTGCCTGTAATGCCTGATAAAGCAGCGTTTGTGAGCGCAGCGCTGCTTTGTGTACAGTACAGCCTTATCATAGGTGGAAATCCGCCCCCCGCCCTAGCTGAGGGTTGTCCCCCCTAAAAATATGATTAAAACCATGCTGTGCATTGTAAATAACAATGTTTTATACTTTAAATAATTGTGTAAGTAGTAAAACAACAGAAACGGGGCAAAATGCATTTCAAGTTTAGAAACATTTTGAGTCTCCCCCTCCCTTGCCTCACAGTGCTTTGGTCCAAATGCCTGCTTTCCTCTTTTACATCACCTACACACACGAGTCCAGCGGTGAGAGAGAACAAAGTCAATAGTTGTGGAACTCCAGTAAGTAGGCTGTCAAGGCTATTTTATTCACTTAAACATCGGGTGAATTGATTATTTTCTCTTTAATATGCCAATGTATTTTTCGCTGTGTTGGTAATAATAACGTTACCTGCTTGAGGGAAAGGGTTGCCAGGTTTTCATAACAAAACCCGCCCATTGCTACTCAAAACTAGCCCAAAACTAGCCCAAACTATCTGTGTTTCGAGGGGGTCCCCCGGTAAAAATCGCTTTCTGGGGCTAAAATATATGGGATGATATTAGACTCAAAATGATTAATAGATGCACGCATAATTATCCATGTACTGCATAAATTTTATACATCATCATAATAATAATAATAATAATAATACAAGGAAGGAATAACAGAAAAACAAAACAAGGTACCTTCACAAAGTTCTTGTTTGGAACCGCACAACTGACGCGCGGATAATAAATGATTAAATTAGCTTACTCCTTATTGAAAATGATTTAAAACATTTAGTTAGGCTATATTACACAATGAATAGGCCTATAATTAAAATTCCGTCTAAAGTAGCATATGTCCGAACACTCTTAATAAGCAGTCATCAAAATAAGACCTTTATTAGCCTACAGAAAAAGACATTTCAAAAACAACTTGAAACAACACGAAATACTTCAATTCTGTTGTTGTTGTTTTTTCACTATAAGTATATCAGCCATAAGAGATTTTTTTTTTTTAGAAAATAAATTAAGACAATAGGCTATACCCACTATTTCTCGTCTCCTCTGACCTAACAAACATTAGGTTAACCGTTAGAGAATATAATGCAGCGTCTGATGCCGAAAGCTCGGTCAGTTTTTACTTTCACTTTCTGTAGCTTAATGAATT